TTCTCCAATATTAGATGCAATCTGATATGTAGTTAAAACCCAGTTATACTGCATTAAATACACTCCTGCACGTTCTGAAAGTTGCTGTCAGTTTTAGTGGCAGAATGCAGAAAAGTTTGACACTTCTGCCTACATTACCGCAAAGTCTGGACCAATGCAGCTTTCCTGACTGCAAAAATAACCGAGCAAACCTCATTTGAATTTGTTTTTTGACGTACTCATTTATTTTTGTTTTCCATTAACTTCATGTTAAGTAAGTACTTTGCCAAGATTCTGTGAATTCTTTTATGATTTTTTAAAACATTATTTGCAATCATACCATCTGCAGTGATAGAGTAAGTTTTGTAATAAACTGAATTTCAGTCACATCACATATATATTACAGTTGTATTTAATTCATACCTTTTACTAAGGAGTTTCAAGTCAAAAATCAAGTATTTGCATACCGTAATAAAGATGAGAAAATTCAAAACATTTAGGTTTAAGACTGGACAAGTGGAATAAATGTTGGTACATTAATAAAAAAAACAATGCTGGAAATACTGAGCAGGTCTGGAAGCATTTATGGGGAGTTAACATTTCCAATTGTAGACCTGAAATGCTGCAGGTGAAAATATCTAAAAATATTCATTATTTCCATATATGTGGTCATTGAAATTTACTTCTTTCTCCTTTACTCCTTTTTCCCCTAAACTCTAAACATCCAAACAAAACCAGGGCAATGATCCAACAGCTTTATCTGTATTGACCCAGACCATAACTGGCCAAGTTGGCTTCATGGATGCTGAATTTTGTACTGCTTGTGGGGAAAAAGAGGCTGATAAAAGGTGCTCAATCTGTAAAACGGTAAGAATGTTTAGATTGGATTTATTTTTAAATTAGTACAAAGAAACCTGCTCACATGAGGCGGGTATATTAGTATGGTTAATAATTCCTCCTATTGTTTAAATTTTTGGCTTAAATATTAGTACTATTTTTCGTATTATGATCAAAGCAGTGAGTAGCATAGAATTGTATGCCATTAGCCCACAGACGTAACTGTCCTTTAATGAGAACATATTCTGTGTTGATGAGACCTCAGGTGATATATTGCAACCAAAACTGTCAGAAGATGCACTGGTTCACTCATAAAAAGGTGTGTAGAAAACTAAAAGAGTCGAGAGAGAAACATGAAGCCAAAGAAAAATCAAAGCAGAAAGGTTAGTTTTTAAGCAAGTTTGCATTTTCCACAGTAGACAGCTGAATATAAAGCTTTTGCTTTGTGTTCTTTTTTGTTTTGGTTGCTTTTGCTTCTTTGAGGTGCCCTGGGCTTCAGCCAGTGCTGCAATGAGACCAGCTTCTGCAGGGCATACTAGCAGTCATAAATTGCTTTTCTGGGGCACAGTACCTAGATTTTACTGTGCTTAGCCAAACCTTGTAAAGTGAAGAATGATGTTTAAAAATTTTTAAAAATGCATTATTTTTGATGGTTTTAATTCTCTCAATCCTAGTTAGGAGTGTATCAATCGTAACAGGTTAATGCAAGATTGAAGTTCTTGTACCTTAATACGTGCATTTGTTTTTCAATTAGTGTATTCATTTCAACTATGTTTAAGCAAATGTATTTACCCCAGTGTAGCTGACTTGATGAATTCTTTTCTTCATTACTCAAACAGAAGGAAAACAAAACACTTCTGAAACCAGTATAAGTGAAGCTGAAATTGTCCCAGAACCTACAGAGTACTCTAGTACCATACACCCAACCTCCAAAGATGGTTCAGATGCTGGGGATATTAGTACAGAGATGATATCGGAAGCTGAAACTCCACAGGAAGATCTCACCACAGAAAAACAGTCCAATCCTCCTGCTCCGACATGCACAGCTGAAGAATAAAGTAGATGTAATATAGTTCTGACGTTCCTTCAGTTTTTAAGAGTGTATGAACCATAATCCAACTTACATGAAGCAACAAAGTAATTGCTCCTGCCGTGCAGTGAAATCAGAAGGACTGCATTCTGTTGATTGTGCACTAAGTAGTTTCTTGCTTTGATTATGCCTCCTCGCCTGCACCAAAGTAACATAGTGGGAGGAAGCAAAGCAACCATAAGAAATAGAAACAGGAATAGGCTGTTTGGTCCCTCAAGCCTGCTCTTCCGTTCATTGCTGATCTAACACTCATGTCCACTTCCCTATGTTTCTCTGTAACACTTTATTCCCCTGCTGATCAACAATCTATTTATGCAGCCATAATATACACAAGGAAACTATAAAGAGTTCAGTAGGATTTGTTTTACTCTCTGCTTTATCTGTTAATTGCAACTAGAAAAGGTGGGCCATTCCCTGCTAAAGATATCTAAATGGTTGGACCATAAAATTCATTAGATCAATCCACATAAATTTGCCAAAATAATTCAAAATATACATCTTAAGATTTGGGGAAAATAATGAGGTATGATTTGCTTTACTATGATTACACAGATAAGATCAAAATAAATCAAACTACCTTCACCTTAAAAAATTTAACATTCCCAAGGAATGCCAGTCTAAGGGAAAATAATAGTTAAGCAGCTTTGCTCTATTGTGAATATGGTTTGCATTAGATTGTATTTTTGTGAAAAATAACCTTTTTTCATTTCTAATGTATACTTAACATCAACACAGATTTTGGGACTAAGTTCAAATGGATGCAAACACATGTTAACAGTAAATTTGATTGTTGTTATTTGCTTCTTTCACACTAACGTTCCACCCTTCCCTCCTCCTCACCAATTAAGCCCAAAAATAAAACTACCACCTTAACTGATAAATCACCTATGGTTGTATTAAGGATATAAACTTGTTTTCTACCCCCCACAACTGGTAAATCACCTCCGTCCAAAGCCTGCAGCTAGAAATTGTGTTTCTGCAATAATTGAATCACATATTTAATATGACCAAATTAAATATGTTTATCCATAAAACAATTTACACACCTTATTATTAAATTAACTATAACTGGAACAATTAAGTTTTCAAAAAATGACAAAATCGATTAACGTTTGCTAAGAGGGAGCATGGTATAATTTCACATCTACCAGGATACATGATGTAGGGATATATTGCTCAAACTTACTTTTCCACTACAGGAGGATGTTGACTCCAAAAAAGAAAATAGATTCCTTAATTTTTAAATAGAAGTGTCATCACTTGAGATGAACACCTCTAAAAGTTCTCTTTGGCCTTACCTTGAATTGAAGCATGACAAAACTGTCCAAAAATGCATAAGTTTCAATTACTTCCTTGTAGGTAATACCCAAATAAAAGTAATACTTTGTTAATGTTTTCCTGATCGCACTGTGACATTCGAGGACCAGGTAAACAGAAGTGGTGTAATGCAGAAAGTTATTTTTTTGCCATATAATTTACCACGCATTGTGGTTTTATTTCTATGTTTGGCATTTTCAAAATAATCTTTGCTGCATTAACTCCAGAATTATAAATACCATTTCAGGGTAGAATGCCTATGACTGTCCTGTTGCTTGAAGAATTTAAATATACTGTGATCGGATTTAAAATGTATCCTAAACTCTACCTGAACATTTACTTATTGTTAACACCACACTAGTGCTTCTTGCAAGCAAGGCAAATTGAATGTACTGTATTTGTGATTTAGCCTTCCAAACATGTACTGGTGGTGTAATTTGTATATTTTGTGTTTCACATTAGGATAGCTTGCAGAAGTCTGTGCTCTTGGTTTGTTACAACATCTGTAATATTTGACTTGTCATTTAAAATTTCTTTTGCAACTGTGTGTTGAAATATGTTAGTGTTATTTTCATGGGAGATAGTCAAACAAGATGAGAAACCTAATGATGTTGCAATTTTTTTGTGGATTTTTTTTTTGCAATTTGACTGCCTATCTTGAATTTTAAACTTTGCGGCCTTGTTATGGTTCAAGTTTCTCCTAAAATGTATTAATTTGTTTCAGTTGACCAAATATATATATATATATATTTTTAGTTTTGTGCACTAAGTTTCAATTGTATCAGTGCTAGAAAATGCCGTTGAGAACAAATGAATGTGTTTTGTTTTCTAAAAAATAAAAGTTTTGATGTAAATCATATTTACTGCCATTTTGGTGACATTGTAGTTGTTGAAAATATTGGCATTTTTATTGGATAAGTAGCAAACAGATTCCAATATTAAAACCTGGAATCTTACAGTATTGCAGTATGTCCTGTCTGTGTAGGCTGTTTGAAAAATATACAGTTGGTTCCATTTGCTTACCCTTTCTTTATAGCCCTGCAAATCTTTCTCCTTTAAGGTTTTTGCAGTTCTCTTTTTGAAAATTATTGCAAGTGCTTCATTCGTTTTTCTCATACAATGCATTTCAGATGAAAGCAACTTATTTTTAAAAAGAAACGCCTTATCTTGCCTCTAGTTCGTTCATTAGTTTAACTTTAAATCTCTCTTCTGGTTACCAATACTTCCATTGAAAACAGATTCTTCATACTCTAATCTAAACTCTAGGATTTTGATTACCTATATTAATTATTCCATTTACCTTGTCTGTTTCAAGAATAAGAGTCTAAAAGAAAGATAGTGCTTGTATTTCTGTATCACTTTTCACAGCTTCATAAATGACAAGTGTCTTATTATAAATGTTCAGTCAATACATTTAAATATTGGGTACAAGAAAGTTGCTAAAGATGGCTGTTGTAAATCATGTGACATTTAGCATTTGGACCACCGCCAATACCAAGTGTGCAGTGAATGTCTAATTAAGTACAGACCTAGGTATAATACACTATTAACATCTCTAGGATGTAACCGAAAGGTCCAGGGGACCTATTAACTTTTAGCCCCATCGGTTTCCCCAGTACATTGTCTCTAGTGATGGTTTTTGTTTTTATTTCCTTCCATCTTTTTTGCCCCTTGATTATTTAGTATTTTTAGAATGCTATTAGTGTGTTCAACTCTTCTGCTGTTTCCTGGTTCCCCATTATCATTTCCCCAAACTTATTTAAATGCAGAGTCTTCAACAACAAAAAAAGTGCGGTGCAGAGGGGTCTGGGTGAAATATAAAAAGGTTGCTCACAGGTACAGCAAGTAATTAAGGCAAATGAAATTTTGGCCTTTTGCTAGACGACTGGAGATTAGAAAGATTTGTTACAACTGTACGGGGAGGGGTGTGACTGAACCAGGAGACACATGCCGTTTTGGTACCCATATTTAAAAAAGGAAAAGTAAAGCTGCTGTAGGTCCAGAGGACGATAGAGCTGTTTTCTCATTAGAGACAGACAACTGGTGGTAACCTCATATTTGAATTGAGACCGCGCTGTCAATATCACTGCATCACAAGCCAACTGTCAAGCTAACTTGGCTTAATAAAGATATACTAGCATTGGACACAGTTCAAAAAAAGACTCACTATGCTGATTCCTGGGATGAAGGGCCTTGTCAAGAACGGCTACGCAGGTTAGGCCTGTATTGAGATTGAGAACAGTGAGGTGATCTTATTGAAACATACAAGATTCTGAGGGGGTTTGATAAGGTAGATATCAAAAAAATGGTTCCACTAGTGGGGGCATCTTGAACAAGAGACCATAGTTACAGATTAGGGGGAACTCACTTAAAACTGAAATGCAAAGGAATTTCTTTCCCCAGAGAGTTGTGAATATCTCAAATTCTCTGCCTCCAGTTTTATGAAGGCTGGATCACAAAGAATTGAACAGGAGGTAGATATTTAGAGGTATTAGGTAGTTGACGGCAATGCTGACCTGGCATGAAAGAGGATTTGAGTCTTAGGGCAGATCAGCCATGATCTTGTTGAATGGCAATTGAGGCACTGTATGGTCCACTCCTGCTGTTTCTTAAGTTCATTCTCTTAAGAGGATTTTTTTTTTTTATATACTTAATAAAGTTCTTACTATATTTTTAAATTACTTGCTAGTTTATCCTCAGTTTATTTTCCCCCAATTTTTGGTCATCTGTTGTTGATTTTTAAAACTTCCCTAATTCCCTGCACTACCATCTTTGCCACATTGTAGGTGGATAGTGTTGATCTCTTGCTGGGTAATGGTCGTTAATATAAATGTTACCTCAGGAGTTTGCTCCTAAACCATTCGGGAATGGATGCAGAGTCAGTCCCAGGGTGTGCAAAGGCCCAGCTCCTCCTCAATAGTATTAACCTCAGTGGGACACAGCTATGGCTGAGGTGCTTAGCTACCCCTTTGTCTTCAATGGATGCTGCTTGCTATCCTCCTTATTCCCTTCAATTTTAGGCTCTATCGTTTTGCTTTGCCTTGAATAGCCACACATATACACTTGGATGTTGCTCTCTGTCTTGTAAGTAAACACAAAGCAGAGGTTGCCAGCTTTTTGTTTATGGTCTCCCGAAAGGGTCTGGGTGGCCTGTTCTCATCCTAAAGAGAGCAGGTTGAATGCTGATTAAATGGTTGTTGGTTAATTTATGCCTGAATTTAGCTAAACACAGCCCTCGCTGACTGCAGAGTTGTGAATTTGTTTTAAACCGAGTATGAAGATTGAAATAGATGCTTAAAATGTTAGTTTCCAAGAAGCAAAAGATGGAAATCTACCAAATGATAGAAAATTCTCAACCCAGAATACATCTGAAAGCTTAAACAACGATGGTCAATTTATTAGGCAACTTAGCTTTCCAGATCAGAGTCCTATAATGAATCATAGCAGTTAAAATACATTGACATAACTATACATCAACTAATACTAATATTTGAAGTTGTCACAACATTTAAATACTTACCTGTCAGAAAGTTCCTGACTTCTTAGCAGGAAGACCCCCAGTGAAAACAAACTTTTCAAATAAGATAGATTCTTTGTGTTTCCAAAGCCCTCACTAGCGTACAAAAGGAACAGGGGTGAGGAAGTTCAGATTCCCTAGAGATCTCACATATGTGAACCTGACCTCAGGAGAAGTGCCTGTGGATTGTGATTTAAAGCATTTCCGGCTCGACTTTTGAAAGGCTACAAAAAAATGTAGCATGGGGTTAGGAAACACTGAGGAGTAAAATTCACTGCAAAAATTTACAAGTCCTGCCATTCACAAACATATTTCTGTCTCCACTATCAGACCCAAATCCAAACCAGGTTAAAAAGACACTGATAAACGCATATGCTCACTTTTGGGCATTCGGTGTACTCCTTCCACCAATACCCAATGCCATCTCCAACACTAAAAAGCCCAGAAGATCAGAAATCAAGCCCAATGTTTACAATGCATATTGTAAAGAACTTTTTCTTTCCTCAGCTCATCTGCATACGTTACATTGAGGCCAATGGTAACAGCCCTAACATTGGTTGAGATCTGCTTGCCACATCCTGATAAATTTGCATTCAAATAGAAAATTGTTGATATGTAAATAGACTGCTACTCATTGGACACTTTTTCCAGGCAATTAAATCAATGAGAAAATACTAAGCATAATCATCAGGGGAAGCAGAATTTGAAGCTTTTAAATCATCCAATCCCTACTTTGAAAACATTCCTGTTTTTGCTTTTAGTATTTCTATTTTTAAACTTGAGCCTGCACAATCAGAATGAGAACTACTTATACAAAAGTTTCACACTGTTAGGATTAATCAGCTGCCTTTTGGCACAAATTTAAAATTTTTCCTCAAAGTTCATTATATCTACATTTTTACAGACTGTCCAAGATTCACAAAGGTAATGCTCCATTACTCTCGATCTGATCTATGACTGGTTATGCATTAACTTCTGAAGAAGGGTGGTAGAGATAAACCAAAGAATTCCAGACCAATGATTCTCATTTCCGTGGTAGCGAAACTATTGGGGAAATAAGGTAATACTAGCAAACCCAGACTCCTATCTGATCACTGAGGTGGAGAACAGCAAGCAGAACAAATGAGGCTGCTCACTGCATTTAAGAGCTGATACAAAGACAAACCAAGCTGCACTATTCTACATGATGTGACTGTGGAGAGACTCTGGTGATATCTGGTTAGAGGTATAAATTTGATTAAAAAATAAATATAACTATTTAGGTCAGATATATACACATATTAAAAATATTTGGATTTATTTGAAGTTAACCATGAAAGACTCCATCACAAATAACAAGAAAAGGATATGCCTTTAAAGAAACATGGAGATGACATACAAATGCTACTAATTAAATTAGCATTCAACCACAGACAACAAAACAACAAACAATTGGTTAATCACTGAAAAGAAAGTCTGGAAAAATGTAAGGCCAGATCACACCTGGGCATGAAAATTAATTACTAATTACAGAAGGATTACTGGGACCATTCAACTTGTTAAAATAGCAAATATCCTTATAACATGAATACTACAAGAAAAAACACTACAGGACAGAGAAGGGCTCTTGTGGCACAGTATAATATCCCTACCACTGAATCAGGAGATCCAGGTTCAAGTTCCACCTGCTCCATAACATCTCCAAACAGGTTGATTAAAAAAAAGGACAGTGAAATGAAACTACTGATAAAACAACCCTTTGGTAACGATTTAAGATTGTGGGACCCTCAGATAACACTTCTCAAAAGATACTTTATCGCACTGGAAAACGATATCATTCTTGCTCAGGACCTGAAGTACTTTAAATATTGATGAATATTCTGTTCTTAGATATCCCTAGATGTCCTTGGAATGTTTTAAACAACATCCAACTGGATTCTATTAGATTTGGCATAACATCTTTTGATAGTTTTTGGCAGAACACTGCAGTATACTTACCAACTAGTGTATTGCTGATTAATTTGTTAAAATTGTAAAATTAATAAATTGGTAAGTTGTTCTTCTCTTACACTGCAATGAACCCTCATATGATATACACTTTAGTGAATGTACTTTCTAAAGAGAGAAATCCTGGAGTCTTAAACTTTCTGGGATGTTACCAGCATAGCAAAAGGTTATTAAAATTAAACAGGCTTTTTGGAAGCAGGTAACATTCTCAGACAGCTTCTTCCCCTGTCGGATGCTTACATAAATCCAAAAACAAACATTTGTGAAATTGGCTCGCTTGAACTCAGCACACCTAGGTTAGAATCATAGAATCTCTACTGTGTGCACGCAGGCCATTTGGCCCATTGAGTTCATAC